CCAAACCTGCTTTTGTTCAGTTTAGAAGTAAAAAAGATGCAAATTACAAGCCCAAGGAATTTCCCCCTAGTTTCTCTAGTGTAAAAGACAATTGTCTAAGTAAATTGTTTATCAAGGTAGATCATCTCCCAGAACCACTGAATTTAGTGGATTGCAAAATACAGAGATAATCATTACTTCCTTTAGAGTTGAGAGTAAGCTGAGAAAAGGCTTTACTTTGAGAACAGCATAGTAAGGTTTGTGAATATCTGCAAAGRAATCTCTCAGTGGACAAAGTATAATTGAATTCCAAGATTTTATAGGTCAGATATCCTGAAACCTCTTTTTACTACTTAAGAATCTACTATATCACAATGTTAAATGAGAGAAAATGTAGAAATTTTTTATGAACTCTTAGTGATACAAATCAATTCAGCTTGGAACCACTAGAAGGGTAAGTGATTGCATGAAGGAAACATCTTGTATTTCCTTAGCCACCCTAACAAGTGTAAATGTAATGAATTATTGTGAACCATGACAATCTGGTTCAAAAGAGGGTCTAGCTTGATGATGCTTCAAGCCATAATGTGTATAAACAGCTCAGTACTTACTAAGTGTTATACAAATCATAAAAGACAAAATCATTTAAGCCTTTTGATATTCAGCAGTTACAGCAAAGTTGAAGTACACCACAGAGCCAAGATACGAGGCTGAAGTGACTGTTGCATAGCTCCAATGTGGTCAAAACACCTCTGGCTACACAAAACCCAAACAATCCCTAATACAGCAAAAGGCTTCTCTCAYGTTTTTCACCTGCAGTCAGTATTCTTTATTGATCAGCTCCACCTTTACTTGTGTGGGATAAAACTGGACTATTTCTAAATAAACTAAAACTGAAACTCTGCATGAAAAACAAGCCTGTAAAACCAGTTTTTTAACCAAATTTTGACAAAAAGCTCTAAGCACACTGACATAGTSCTCTGCTGGGAAATGCTTCGGCTGCTGTTGTATGTAGCGTAGGCTTTCCCTCCTTGACTCTTCCTTTAGAAAAGTAAGACTCTGTCACTTAGCAGTGTTGAGTATATAACAGCTAAAACAGCTTTTCAACWGATGCAGGCAATTCTCTGTCATCGGGAATCTCTGAGCCAACAAGGGATGTTTGCCTAAACGATTTGCTCTAAATGTAAATTGGTACGTTACATGGAAAAAGTACAGGATAAATGTGTATGAGAGCATAGTCTGGGAAATAGAGGAGGTCTGATTCAACAAAAATGATCACCTGATGGCTTTAAGTCTTTGAGTCAAGAAATGTAGGGCTTAGAATATCATTGACACAGCATGGAACTCACGGGCAGGTTTCCTTCTGTGGAAGAAAACCAAGATGTGCTGAAAACTGCTTTGAAATTTCACAGAATAAGAGACTTGAGTTTCCTGGAGCCTTGAATTCAATCCAAAACCTGCAAGAAAAGAAAGCGCTCCCCACCTGTTTGCAAGAATGATTCAGAGAGAACRAATGAGCATACAAAGGAGTTCCAAAACTGCAGGATCCACACCATAAAAACAAACTCACTTTTCCTGTTTCTCTTCTTGCTGGACAGAAACACAAAATGGAGATGAACCTCTGGATTTTGCTTGTTTCAGAAGGCTTAAGAGCCCATTGTGTGCTATGAAACATATATCAAACTTTTCTATTTCTTTCTTAGATTATAGTAGACTAATTTATTTGTTTATGCTTCAAAGACAGAAAAAGATGTCTCCTCATYTCATGACAATATTTGCTCTATCAAAAATGTTATTACATTGATAAGGCTAATATTGCAAAACAGCCCTTTGTGTCAACAYTAATCTGAGATAGATTTCAAGAAGAAACCCTACTTCACCTTCAATTTTCAAAAAAGCCAGCTTTTTGCAGAAATATTTTTTGCAGCAATTTCCATGAATCATGTAATTAGTTCTACAATGGATAATTTCTTCAAATCTCTTAAGCATCCACGGCTTAGAGATTGTAAGACTGTCAGTTTAGGCCTGCATTTGCTGCATTAATTACTGCATATTTYATTTTATATTGTGCAGTGTTTTCTAACAGTAGTGTCCAAAATTTTTTCCAGAAACTTCAACAACATTCCTAATTTATTAAGAGCAATATAAACAAGAGATAACYGCACTTTATTGTGTTATATAAAAGGAATCACAGCTCTTCTAGTCTGTACTTGTATAAAAGCATCAGCCCATAAGCATGTATTAGAACACAGAATAAGTCTTAAGATAATAGAATGAAGGACAAAAATATCAGGGAGATACAATTTGACCAAGAAAATCCACACATTCCACTTTAGCGTAGTGGCTACGGTGGATGATCCACAATAAAATCAATCTAAATGAATGTGACACTTGGAATCCACTTTCTCCACAGAACCTGGAAAAATCATTATTTTGATTTCTAGCATGATTCCAAACAGTGTTCTTACTTTCCTAATMCACAGCTCACAAAAACTGGCTTCAGATATGAAATCTACATGTGATTCTCCCTGTTCAATTCATTATTAATAATTCAGACTCTGCCTTCATTTAATCAGAAATATTGTTGTCACTCAAAGCAGTGAGAAGAGCTAGAAGATGTACACTCAAAATTAGACAACAGCTGCAGCAATCATTACCAGCTTGCAACATCACTCTCCTACTGAAGACTGACAGCCAAACTGCCATGGATAAAGTTTGCTTTGATGGTGGCTACAGAGAAGAGCAGAATAATCTTCTCTTCATCCCTAAATCTGCAAGTTCTTTCAGGTCATGGAAAGAAAGCTCAGTCCACACAATCCTTTTTTTCAAAACATGAACATGCAACAGCAGTTTTCAGCCATTTGCAGCAATGGACCAAAGCAGATAAGGATTTTCATAGTTTTCAGATCAATAAAGCCGAAAGCTGACTATAAAAAGGTCAACAGAAAATTCATCCACTGACGTATTGAATGTTCAATACAGTACAAGTCTAGCTGCTCAAGTTTGACAGCATTCTTGTTTTATATCATACTTCAGCATTGCAAAATGATAAGGAGGCTGACAGCTCAGCTTAGCAAACCCTGCAAGACCAATTAGTCACCTCCATGATGCATATTTAGAGAGAATATATCTAAAACCCAGAGTGTGTGATAACTCCCAACACAGAGCCCATGAGAATTTCTCATAAGTGGCTCTCCTCTGCCTACTCAGACTCACAGAGGAAGGGTTACTTACGTGAGCAGGGAGTGCAGGCTATCTGAAGTCGCCATGTGCCATCTTTGTGCGTATGCAGTATTGCACAATCCCGAGGCTGTGATTGGATCCTGCTGCTCTCCACTGGACTGTGTGCAAATCAGGCACCTGCTGCAGGGAGCTGAACCCGGATTCGAGGYTGACTGAGAGCACGCTGTGAGCATCGTGGCTGGTGGTAGTCCTCATTGTCTGGAGAATTTGGCTACTGCAGAGTGAAAATGGCACACTAATATTACAATATGAAAATGAATTCAAATTATTCCTTATTTTGAATAGTTCTTTCTTGACACTGTACACATCCCTTTAAACTGGAATTTTCATATGTGGTGATTTCTTTTCTTCTTGATGCTGTGCTCAGCTGATCTCAGCTGCACAACTACAGGACCTTCGCAGTTCTATCTGAAGACCACACATTAACATGCAGCTACCAAAATAAAGTTCAATATTTTGAAAAATCAGTCCTAGGGGTGTTAGACTCTTTGTCCCCCAAAATTACTGTGTCTTATTTAGCAATATGTAAAACAAAAATAATATACCCCAAGTACTTAAAAACATTTTCAAAAGCAATGCACCAGTATCAATGAACTTCTCAGGGACTTCAGTGATGGGCATTGAAACACAACTGAGAAATTGGTAACTCTGCATTCACTGAGTGAACAACACACAGAAACAAAGCGTTAGGACACATAGATAAAAATAATTGAACAATTGACTGAAAAGATACTCATTGTCTAAGCTCTGTCCAAAAAAAGTGAGAACCCTCAAAGAAACATGTTATTTCACCCATGTATTTTAAGACTATCTAATGGAACTGCACGGATGGTCTTAACATCAATACCTCCTAATGTTTTGACCTTRCAAATGTAATAACACTTTATAAAATTAAATATAAGCTTTGCATAAAATTTACTAAAATAAAAATAAAACAATAGGTAAAAACTCTGAAGACAATAGAGCCTCATATTAAAAACTACATAAGTGAGCATCATAAGTGATTATGATTCCAATCCCTGCTATTGCAATAAGGTCTTGAAGAAATGACAGAAGTCCTTTGATGTTTATAAACCTTATCTGAATTTCGAAATGAAATTAGTTTGTGGCAAATTTGTACCTCCCTGTATTTTGTTCAACATCTTCCATAAGTTAAAGTGTTTATGCTGTACTATTATTCAAGTTTGTAAATTGAAGTGCTAAATATAGAAAAGGATCTTTTAAGTTACTTTATAATAGCAATTGAACACGTSTACACAGATACCCCCATGCAATGTGTTCTCCCTTCAAGAAGGCTGACACAACAGAAGCTTTAATTATTAATGTGAATGGCAAAATTTGAACTGAAATACTAAAGAGGTCTCTGCTAACTTACATACCGCTGCTGTAAATTTAGTTATGCTCTCTGCGTCTTGAATTATACATGGACCAAAAGATTTTGTTTCATTTTCCATGTTTATCCAAATGCTTGTATGCATTTAATTATATCCTCCATGCATTTTTTTTTGAATAAGAAAGTCTGCTACAGATTTAAGATAAGGATATATACTCAAGGGTCCAGTAGAGAAAGAACTATATGTCTTCCACTAATAATAGAACTTCTGGCAAAACTCACTGATGGTAACTATATCTATAAATACATACATCTCCACTTACACACAGTCTGTAGTTTATRTTATTACAGACAAACAAATAAAGTCATTTAGAAGAACTGTGTCCATCAGAGTACACTAATACAGATTTGAGATTGTGCATCACCGACAGCTTCCTTTGAGGGCTTATAGATAGTGCTCAGCATAGCCCTCAATATCACCCACTTTCTGACTAATCGTATCATTTATTTTTCTATGCCTGCAAGCACCAATTGCTTCTAAAGACTGACTGTTGATTTGGGTCACTAAGGCACTGCATAACAGACCCCAGATTTCAGCTGGTTTTACACAGTGCTGCTATAACCCTATGGCATTGTATAGCTCTAGGTAGAGCTCTGATCCCAAACACAATATTGCAGTGTCAATGCCCCCGAGAAAAGCAAATTCTCTTAGGTGCAACTTCATATTAATGCAGTGACACTACTTCCTATTATGAATTTACCTTGGCTGCTGTGAGCAGAGGGATCTCTGCAACACGCACCACTGCACAATGCAAATATGCCCTCAAGTATGTGTGTGTACATCAATTTTTTAGTCTGTAATACCAATTGCAAATATTGGCATGCACAGTTCTGGTGTCTGTGTTTGCAAACTGTAAAGAGGCTTAAGTGTTTATCCCCTTTACACACAGAGATATCCCGGACGTGTTCAGACAACATGGAAACCCTGCTCTGGCCCCCATGTTAGTACTTCTCATGGTACACTGTTTTTTCTTTACATATTCTGCATGGCATCTTTACTAACTTTTTACAGGTGAAATGTCTTAATACAGTACTCTTAATGGTTCTCYAACAGATTTGCTTCCCAGAGCATAACTGTTAAGTAAAATGAGAGCTATTATACTCAACATCTTTTACTTCCTAGTCATATCAGTGCTAACCAGACTCTTACGTCACAGCTAGGCAGTCCCCAGTGCCTGATTTAAGATGTTATACTTTGCTTGGGTTCTTCTAAATGATATTTCAACCTTTGAAATGAACAGACCAGAAACAGATCCTGATCATGTCACATACGACTTGTTTTACAGTAAAACATAGAGATTTCAATGAAGATTAAAGCATTATGCATTGGTCTTCCACACTAGAAGACAGAAGGAGAATGACTCCTGTTAATGAAATGGCTTCAAATCTCATTTATTAATGTGATTTAATTTTCAATCAATGAGTTTTATCTAARCATTTGGAAGTAAAGGAATGGATCAATGGCTCTGCGTTTGAATAAGATCTAGTCAAGAGCATAAAAGGAGTTATATCCCTATTTAAGTCTTTAACTACAGCTTTACTTTTAGATAGACTGTATTGTATCATACTATGAAATACTTACTGCAGCTGTTTGAAATGTAGTTAATCTTCACATGAATAAGAGAACACCTGTAATATGAATGAACAACTTTAAGTAGCAACTGATCAGTTGCCTCACTTTTCCATAGAATCTTTCAGACAAAAATCACATGTTTGAATTTTCACAGGTCAAAATTCAGGGACAATCAGAATGGTTCTTCAGCAGAATCCAATGCCAAATATCCCAGTATCATTCTGGAGCTTAAACATCGCTTCAGAAATGGCCAAATGACCAGCCAGAGAAGAACCCAGAGGACAACCCAGAGAAGAACCCAGAGAAGAAGACAGCTCCTTGTTAATTTTCATTTTAGCACTGACACAGAGGAAGTATTGTAATACTTGTCAATTACATGTGTTTTCATCCTTCCCTTGAAATTAATTTTCCCTACTCCAATATGGCACCAGGTGGACTAGAAACCTTTTGCATGACTCTATGAGACCATCATTCTTTTTAAACTATAAATGGAGACACTGATTTCAGTCATTTTTGCATCAAAAAGTAAATAAAATTTGCTATGACATTTAGTTGCATTCTACAGTGAGAATCTACAAAAATAAGATATAATGGTCTCATTTTAGCTTATGACTAATGAGATCCAGAAATCATGAGTAATATGTGCAAATAACATCACCACCATGTAGCATTTGATCATGTGGAATCCTACATGAAAAAGAGAATGGATTTGAAAATGCTAACAAATCTTTTACTGAACTATTTAATTCATTTTAATATTGCAGATGCAGAGAGTAGGAATATAATCCTGTGAGAAAAGAAGAGAAACTATAGAAGGAGATATCAGGGTTTTCAGATCAATTGCCATGGCAAAATCTTGTATCTTTTCTGTTAAAAAAATTAAAAATAGGTATAGCAATAAATTACTGTAACATATTAATGTTTGCATTTACGCGGTCAACTGTATGGATTTGATCATAAAGAGATAAAATCAGACATGTTACTCTCAACTCATTTTTAAAAAATACTCTATGTCACCTGTGTATGTCTACTGAGCGAATGGAGGTGTAATACAATTTGAAGAGGAATTATTTCTTTGAATAATTAATAATAATACTAAATAAATTTATCATAAATGTTTGAGACTATTTTTGCAAGACTCATAYATTTTGACACATTTTATAAAAATTTCTGAGAGGAAATTGCACAAGATAAGAAATTTAACACAGCAAGAGAATTAGGCAAGGAATTAACCACTTAGTAGGTAAGGATAATTGATTCATGATATATATTAGATTTGAAATTTTCAGTCAAAAATACACATGGAGGGCACCACTTTTTATGGTGCCTTAAAGCTCAGTTAAAGGGGTTAAACTCAACTGCAAACTAGTTTCAGCCTAATTTGTGATGACCACACTGGGATGTCTCAAAGATCACAGTGCAGGAAATGTATATGAAACCACAGCGTAGCAACTGTTGATATGAGTTGATTTTTCAGTGGTAAGCAATACAATGATTCATAAAGCATATTTTTCTTCTCACCATAATCTCTTAATAAGCTTATGTGTCTTACCCACCTGAGTTTACCATACTATTTTATCATTACTTTAATTACGTACCATTTGAATCCATTACTTTTTTTTTTTGCCTAGATCCTCATCCTGGAACTTTGATAATAACCTTTGGAGAAAATGATAAGAAGACTTCCTTAAATTTTTACTGTGTGTATTTCCATACTGTCAACACATACATACGAGCATCTTGTAGACATCTTTTCCTTGTTAAATAATGCTATGGTAAATTTTACAGAATTACAGATCAATGAAATGGCCAGAGGTATAACTCACTCACGACTGAAACAGAACAATTTTTTTCCTCAAAACTTCCAATTTAATTTTGCTACGTTTATTTGAATAGTTGTACTTCTAAAATGTTCAGGACAAYCAGAATATTTTCTTGCTTTTATTTGCTGCTTAGGGAAAATGGTGCCTTTTATTTCTCTCTTAATGTTGAAGTTACTTCCTCAAATCTAACAGAGAGTAGATTTTCATTAGATAATAGGAAGATATTCCTTTCTATGGGGGAAATGAGACACTGGAACMGGTTGYCCAGAGATCCTATGGATGCTCCATACCTGGAAGTGTCCAAGACCAGGATGGATGGGGCTCTGAGCAATCTGGTCTAGTGGAAGGTGCCCCCATCCATGACAGGGGGATTGGAATTGACTGATCTTCATGGTCCCTTCCAACACAAACCATTCTAAGATTCTATGATTCCATTATTATTTTTCATGAAACATAATAGAAAAAAACCTGGTTTTGAGAATTTCAAGTGAACATTTAGTCTATTGCCTTGCCCCAGTGCACTATCAACAGCACTTAGACCATTTGTTGTAGGTGTTTACTAACCTGTCCTTATAAACCACTAGTGATGGAAATTGGACAGTCTTCTTAGGCAACCTATATGAGTATTTCACTATTCTTTCAATGTTCATCTAATGTCCCTCTCTGATGTCTAAACTTCATTCTATTTTAAACAGTTATGACTCCAAAGAAGATGGAGAAAATCACAGTACCTTCTTCCTTGCAGGAAGTGTTTGAACCCATGTGGGATTATGGGATCTGTTCTCTTACAGAAAGACYGTATTTCTCTGCACCCCAGGGTAAAACACCATAAAAGGTTAATTCCCTTAACTATTAAAACAGTTATTTATAGCTATTTTAACATATTTGCAAAGCATTGTTCCCCTTCTCATTTTTCCTAAGGTAAGGAATATTCCAAACAATATTCTTACATAGCAGTCTTTTAATATCTCTAGGGTTAGAAATCACAAKGAATTTTCTTTTAAATCACAGGTAGAATCGAGCTAATTTCTAATAGTGAAATCATGTTTACTCAGAAGGAAAACTGCTGAAATAGCAGTAAAATTGCCACATGAGAAGARGAATCCCTCAAGAAAAGGTCCATATCACTGACTCCCCAATACAGATGGATTTTCATTGTGTAAACCTGTGTTGTGCCTAGCCAGGGGGCTAAACACTGACCTTAAATAGCAYTTGATTCCCCATTTTCACAAAAAAAAGTATCTATATTGTCAGGTGCCAACTCATTAAAAAAAATTTGTATCAGGTGGAACTTAATTGTTTTTTTGGTTTTTTTTTGAGAAGTTAATTACCATCACTTGCCATAAGGAGCAAAATAAAAAAAAAAAGAAAAGAAGTGAAGTAATTCACTCCAACTTCCTGCTCAAAAGTCACTGAGAAGTCTCTTAAATTGCATTTTTCCCACAATAAATAACAATTTGGGAAGGCCAGGACTAAGCAAAATTCCTTCTTGTTGACTTCTTGATATTTTGTCAAAAAGACCTGTAGAAAGAAGACTCCTCCTAGAGTGTAAATACCTGAGGGAAAGTCAGAGCATCCTCTCATTACCTGTATACCTGCAAAGGAAAACGAAAATGTCTGAAGCCCCACCTTTAAGAGCCTTGTGAAACAATCTGGGAACTGAGCCAAAATCTACTCTCTCACTATATAAGACTTGGGAACAGACAGGTATTTCCTCAGAGGCAGGTTGTTCGGTAGTTCCTACCGGACTTCCAGAAGATGGGCAAAGGTGGTGGGACACGAATACCACTGTGGATATCAATACTAGCCCTTGTCTTCATACAGGTCAAAGGTAGGAAGATTCACTTTCTTGGCATTTTTACTGTTTTAAAGAATTTATAACTTGCTTTGGAGTTTGAAACTTTTTTTCTTGGCTTTGTGAAGTTAATGAACCTGTTACCTTCATGTAAGATTTTATTTTTCTGCTTAAAATACTTTCTTTCCTAAGAAGAGGAAATTAACTCTTTTGAAACTGTTGTAATTTTTTTTTCAAGTTGAAATTTGGAACAGCTCCACTGCATTGAGTGGAACTCCCTCAGAACTCAGAACTTACATTTCTACAAAACTGCTTCAAGATTTGCATTTAGTTTTTAATACCCATTTCAAGATGGTATAGCAATTCTAAATGAAYAAACCAAAAGGTGAAAGGTACCTCTAGAAAGGAAAAAGTCAGGAGAGGAGTATGTCTGCATGCATTATTAAAGATTGTGTTTATCAGCTGATAAAAAAGAGATGGGTTTTGCTTGAAAAGCATCAGAGGACAGATTAAAAAAATAATTTGCACTTGCTTATGAGGCTGCATAAAAGCTTAGCACACAAGGCTGGTTTGTGATGGGCTGAAAACAAATGGCACTGCTTTAAATAGTCTGAGGGCACTTAACAGTCACAGATGGATGCAAATCTCTTTAAGCTCTTTTTATTATTCTTTTTTTCACCTGATAACTTCCCTTAAAGTTTAAGATAACAACAATGGTAGTTTTAAATGCATTTTGGTCTGAAGTGCAGATCCTGTTGTATGATTTCGAATTTTTCCTACTCCTAGGTAAATCCACAGTAACTTATATTAAGAAGTGGTAGTATCAAAGAATAGCCCGTCACAGGACTAGCTGTAGCATTGGCACARCATGCAATGGAAGGCAGGATCTGTAAAGCACATGGCATGAGACAGAGTGCAGCCACACAGGGCATGGAGAGAGAAGCAAAAAGCTCTCTGAGGCTGGGCAGTGAAGGAGTCCAGGAGCACTAAATGATTCTTACTTTAAAGTGGACACATGTCCTCTAACCCCAGCTGCAGACCCCCAGGTCTTTCCCCGGGAGGGGACTTGCAGATCTCCCTACAGTTCTGCTCTCAGCCTTAGCCCTTCTGGTGGTCCTAGCCACGGACTGCCCTCGTGGGGTGCAGCAGGGAGTGAGCCTGCCCTTTCAGTTTTTTCTGACTGGCATAGTCTTCACGTCAACCTTCTCTCTGATGAACTCTCACTAAACCGAGCCTCAAAAGCCCCTCTGGCCCCTGCAGATAATGTAYGTGTTTCTATTCTATTGCTGCAGTGGAATGGAATGAAAAATTGTTTCTTTGTTTGGGTCAAAATCAACAGGCACAAATCTATTGGAAAGACCTATTTCCTTCTGTGTGGTGTGGCTTTTCCAATTATTTTCCTTCTGTGGCTTTCTAAAAACAGTGCTTGAAACGATAAAATGGAGAATAACTTTGGTTTTGACAAAGATCAGTCTTCTAACCCAAAAGTGAGTTCTTCCTGTACAAAAGGGATCTATTTTAAAGCCATCTATCTAGGAGAAAAAGGTTTTACTGATACTTAAAGCACAGTGTGATCATAAAACCTAAGAAATTTAGGTTCTTTAT